AAATATATAAAAAATTGATGTGGGTACTCAAATGAAAGGTCTCGATGAGTGAAACATCAGGATGAGCTTATATCTTCAAAAATGTCAATAGTTCAAAAAATACAAGGTCATTTATTAATTATGATATGGATTTTTTTTATAGAGATATCACATACCTGATGATTGCTTTAAAATCATAATTGGCTTGTAAATTTCTTCAACAATTTTTCGTATTTTATTTTCATTAAAAAAAGCAAATATCATTTTAGTCAGTATAACTGACATTGGAAAAATATAACAGATATTTTTTGATAAAATAACTAATGTAAAATTAGATATAGTATCATAAACAGTAGTGGCAATAATTCCAGATTGGACAATAAAATTTATTATCTTAAAAATATTAATCCCAATTGTCAATAACATATTCTTCGATTTGTATTCAAAGGGTCCGGTAATTCTGTAGAATAATCACAAATATAAATAATAATAATATATATTTTTAAATTATTTTTTTAAACATTGCTTTTATACTTAAGCAGGGTGAATGCCCTCTTTACAAAGCACTTAGGGTCTTCAATTGGCGATGACATTTTTTTTAAAATAATAGATCTAAAACTTTTACTTAAAAGTATCATCACTAGTGAAGTAACACCACAAGCTCGTTTATTATTCATATTGCGTGACTTGGTCGTCTAGTTAGCCAGTCTCTCTGAACTTCCTCCTCAAAATAAATAAATCACCACCAGTATTAACCCTCTGACCCCCGAGTTCCTCTGATTCGAGTGGTACCTTGAGCAAAGGTCTAAAAATAAAATAAAGGTTCCTTAAGCTTCTGCTGTTTAGCCGTATTGTTTGTAAATTTTCTTGATCCAATGATTTATGGCGATAACTCGGGAAGTTATCAACCGATTTTGATCTGGTTTGAAGGAATTGATTTGGAATCATATCTATTTAATCCTCATAAAATTTGAAAACAATCGGTTATGTAGTTTTAGAGTTAAATTAGAAACAAATGATAAATAGAAGCTTAAATTAGATAATATGTAAATTTTCTTGATCCAGTGATTTTTGGCGATAACTCGGGAAATTTTAAACCGATTTTGATCTGGTTTAAAGAAATATCCTTGGTATACTAACCTTTTGATCCTCATAAAATTTGACAGCAATCGGTCAAGTAGTTTCAGAGTTAAAAAATAAATAAATAGAGAATGAAAATGAACAGTATGTAAATTTTCTTGATCCAGTGATTTTTGGTGATAACTCTTGAACTATTGAACCGATTTTGATCTAATTTGGAGTAATCGGCTTGGTATGCTAATCTTTTGATCCTCATAAAGTTTGAAAAAAATCGGTCAATTAGGTTAAGAGTTAAACTAAAAAAAAAATAAAGACTAAAAATTATTGATATGTAAATTTTCTTGATCCAGTGATTTTTAGCGATAACTCGGGAAGTTATCAACCGATTTTGATCTGGTTTGACGGAATTGATTTGGAATTATAACCATTTGATCCTCATAAAATTTCAAAACAATCAGTTAAGTAATATCAGAGTTAAAAAATAAATAAATTAATTAATAAATAGAGACTAAAAATTAATAGTATTTATATTTTCTTGATCCAGTAAATTTTGGTGATAACTCTTAAACTATTGATCCAATTTAAATCATCAAGGAGTGTAATTAAAGGTGAGTATAATTACATTGGTAAAGGTTATAAACAATTTATATTTATTAATAATTTCTCACATTTTTGTATATATATTTATATATATATATATATATATGTATATACTTTCATCTTAATACAATAATAGTAAACAAATAAATAAACTATAAATAAAATCTAGTAGAATATTGAATATTTAATTTATAAAAATATCTATTTTCATATATGAGTATTTTTATTATTATTATTGCCTAAGTAAATATTTTTTTTTTATTTTTAATTTTTTTTTAAGTATCAAAGTGCCGGTAGTTATTATTATCATTATTTACAGTCTTTTTTTTTTTGTCATTATTTACAGATATATATTTATTATTTATGCACCGTTTTACGTTATTATATCTACTTAATAATACATTAAATATATATATTTATACATAAGTGATTAATTAGTGATTTTTTTTACCCTCTATTGATAATAAATTGCACGAACCCACTTTATTATAAACACATTAATAATAATATTAATAATAATAATTATAAAAAAGAAATTACTCATGGGAGAAATTATAATTGCGATATTTAACATAATTATAATAAAAATAATAATAATAATAATAATAATAATAATAATAATAATGTAAAATTAATAATAATGATAATGATAATCTCATCTTAAATTAATGATTCCTCTTGATCACTGCGAAAATAAAATAATTTTTAAAAATTAAAACATTAATTGAAGATTTTTATTAAATTATTAATAATAATAGGCGAAAAATAAAAATAATAATAACCGTTGCCCTATCACAGGTCACCCTTGAATAAATGCGCGCGCAATTCCTTTAAAGGGTCTCATAATTGTGACCGAATTAGTTAAACAAGTCAGAGGGGTAATATTAATTTTTTTCGGCGTTAAATAATAAGATTTTAAGTTCTACTGGCCCTAAGCCTACTTTAGGTCCCAAAATTAATTTATTTAGGGTCATGTAGGCCCTTAATTTATTTTAGGTCCCATAAGTCCCAAAATTTAGGGCCTTATGTACCCTAAATCTATTTTTTAGGCCTCATAAGCCCCAAAATAATAAATTTAGGGCTGTGTGGGCCCAAAGTTTCTTTTAGGTCCCCAAAAATCAATTTAGAGCTTTGTAGACCTTAATTTAGGTCACATTAGTCCTAAAATAATTAATTTGGGGCCTATGAGGCCCGGAGTCTACTTTTAGGCCTCCTAAGTCCCAAAATTTAGGGCCCTGTAAGCCCATAATCTATTTCAGGCCCTAATAATAATAATAATAATAATAATAATAATAATAATAATTATTATTATTATTATTATTTTTATTATTATTATCTAACTGTAATATTATGACTAAAGTACTAACTTTTCCTAGAATATCTGACCACAATATTATAATGTTTAATATTGGGAACAATAATTTTAATGATGTAAATCCAAGAGTATACTTTGCCAGAGACATGAAAAAGTTTAGTAAAGTTGACTTTCAGTTAGATTTAAGGTCTAGACTAAGAAAAATAAATTGTGTTAATAATTGTAGTATAAATAATTATAATTATATTGTAAATAAAATAATCTGTGATATAAACTCTAGTATAAATGAATTAGCTCCAATAATAAAGAAATATAAAAAAATTGACTGGCAGAGTAAACCTTGGATAGATAAGAGTATAATTTATCAAATAAAACAGCGTGATACTGCTTACTATGCTGCCAAAAACTCACAACAAATAACTGATATTGAAAAGTATAAAAAATTACGAAACAAAATTTTAAAAGAAATTAGAGATGCTAAAACAAGATATTATGAACAGCAAATAGATCAGAATAAAACTAGTTCAAAGTTAATGTGGAAGTCGTTAAAGAATCTGATTGGAGGAAAAAATACGTACTCTAGTTTCGATGTTGTCAACTTTTCTGGCAGCATAGTATCGGATCAAATGCAAATTGCTAATAAATTAAATCAATATTTTATAGATAGTGTGGAACAAATAATAAACGATTTTAATTGTAAAGAAGAAAATTTTAATCACGATAGTAATTATAATGTGTGTATAAATTGGGATGAGTTTAAGAACATAACTTCATCTGAATTAGATAAAATTATAAACGGTCATGATGAGAGTAAAAGTCCAAAACTAGAAATTAATGCAAGAACTCTTAAATATATTTGGGAAACTGAAAAAGATTTATGTCATTTATGATTAATAAGTCATTAGATTTAGGACTTGTCCCAGATAACTGGAAAACCTCCATAATATCTCCTATACAAAAAGTAAAAGACAGTATTAAAGTAGAAGAACTCAGACCAATAAACGTTCTGCCGGTATATGAACAAATACTAGAAGAGGTAGTAAAAGTTCAACTGCTTAATTATGTAAATAATAATGATATTCTCTTTGATGAACAGTCTGGCTTTAGGGTTAACTACTCATGTGAAACAGCATTACAGCGTAGCTTTATAGATTGGCGTAAGAATTTAGATGATAGTTTGTTAATTGGAGTAGTATTTATTGACTTCGCTAAGGCGTTTGAGACAGTAAATAGAAAATTATTATTAGATAAATTAAAAAAACTAGGAATATCAGGAACAGTGCTAGAATGGTTTAATTCATACTTATCCAATAGAAAACAAAAAGTTAAATTTGGGAATGCTGTTTCAGATGAGTACGAAATTAACCATGGAGTCCCCCAAGGTTCTAAATTAGGCCCCTTACTTTTTATATTGTATATAAATGAAATAATTGAAATATTCAAGAACTTAGGTATTAAATGTCGTTTGTTTGCTGATGACATGATGTTGTATGTTGCTCATAACAATATTAAATACATTCAAAATAAACTAAATACTGCGTTAAATATGTTAACTAATTGGTTAAATAAAAATCAACTAAAAATAAATATAAAAAAACAGTATATATGGTTATTCACGACAAAAGAAACAAAATCGATCTTAAAGCATGTAATGTAGTAATCAATGGAGACAATATACAATATGTAGACAAAACCAAATATCTACGTGTCATTATTGATCATCACTTAAATTTCAAAGACAATGCAACTTACGTTGCTAATAAAATAGCGAAAAAAGTCAACTTACTATCTAGACTCCGGAATACAGTTAGTAATTTTGCGAAAACTATTATCTATAAATCGATAATAGCACCGCATTTTGAAACCTGTAGTACTGTGATGCTTAATTATGATCAAGATAAAATTAACAAACTACAAAAACTCCAAAATCGTGCTATGAGAGCAATTTTGAATGTAAATAGATATACAAACATTAATCTGATGCTTGACACACTTGGTTGGTTGTCAGTAAAACAAAAGATATATTACAACTGTTGTCTATTTGTATTCAAGATGCTCCATAATATTTCACCTAATTATTTAAATGAACAAATAGAATTAATAAGCAATAATCATAATTATAATACGCGTAATAATAGTTTACTTTTAATTAAGCATACACGAACAATGACGGCAGAAAAATCTATAGTATATCGAGGATTTGTATGGTTTAATGAACTACCGAAAATAATAAAAGAACAGAAATCAATTAATGTATTTAAGAGATTATTGAAAAATCAAGCTAAAACAATGTATTTATAAAAAACATATCCTTAAACCTTTGTACCAAAGAAACAGAGAATTATAATTGTAAAGAATGTAGCAAATGCTAAATAAACAACTTATTATTATTATTATTATTATTATTATTATTATTATTATTATTATTATTATTTGA